TATATTAAAAAATTCAATAAATTACACGAATCAAAAATGAACTCGTCAAAAATCATCCTGAACGAATCTCTTACCAATAAATGGCTAAAAAATCTATCTAATATCCATATACCTGATAGACTACTCTATATTTTTGCACTAGGCCCAAATTTTGCTATTCCTAACATCTGTCACAACTTTAATTTTATCAAAGTACTCAGCAGATTAGAGTCAAGCTTACAGAATATAAAAAATCCCGAAATTAAAACTAATACCCGTTCAGCTTTTTGTAAAAATTTTCCCTCGTTTATTAAATCTTTTAACACAAAAAAAAAATCGACAATATTGACATCCTTAGAGACATTAAAGCTTGCAAACTTTTTATTAAAGAAAACCCTAACATTTTAATTACGAGGGCCGACAAGGGGAATATCACAGTCATTTTGGAAAAAACCACGTACCTAGAAAAAGTCTCCGAATTAATATCAGACACAAAAACATATTCTCCCATTAACTCCGATCCCACTGACCGAATTAACCGTACTTTTCATAAATTTGTAAAGAACTTAGTCTCTAATAAACAAATTACTCCACAAATCTCACTGACAATTAGAAACCTTCACCCTTACAACCCCAAACTCTACGGACTTCCTAAAATACATAAACACAACGTTCCTCTCAGACCTATCGTGGCTGACCTGAACTCACCTCTTTCAAAATTCTCCAAATACCTAAGCAACATACTCTCTTCAGTCACAGTCAAGTCTCGTTTTTTTACAAAAAACTCCTTTGAACTTGTCAACAATCTCCGCGATTCCGTTATTCCTGATAACTCCTTATTGGTTAGTCTTGACGTAGTATCCCTATTCACAAACGTTCCCCTACAATTAATTTTAGATGCCATCACTGCTAGATGGGACGAAATCTCAAGTCATACAACGTTATCACTGCATTGGTTTCTAGAGTCCATAAAATTCATAGTTTCGAATACTTATTTCGAATTCAACGACCATTTTTACCTTCAAATATTTGGCACACCTATGGGTTCTCCTATATCCCCGTCACTCGCAGAAATTGCTTTACAACACTTAGAGTTGAAAGTTTTTAATTCCTACAATCTAGACCTTCATTTTTATTACAGATACGTTGATGACATCCTTACCTGTGTTCCTGTTAAAAAATTCGAACTCTTACTTCATAGTTTTAACTCATTTAATGAGCATCTCTCCTTTACGTTTGAAAAAGAACAAGAAAATTCTATCAGCTTTTTAGACGTAGAAATTATAAAAACCACAGACAATCGAATTATCACTAATTGGTTCCAAAAACCTACTTGGTCGGGTAGGTATTTAAATTATCATTCTTACCACCCTTCAAGCATGAAGATAGGCACTATTATTAATTTAGTCGACCATGCTATCCTACTCTCAGAGAAACAATTTTGGCCCTCTAACTTATCCCTCATCCGCACAACTTTAATTAACAACTCATATCCACCGCACCTCATCAACTCCGTCACCTCCAACAGACTTAAAACCCTCAACAGTATGCATTCTTCTTTTTCCCCAGAAAAAAATTCTAAAGACAATAACTATATAGGCAACGTTTGTTTACCTTACGTAAAAAAACTTTTTCCATTGTGGAAAAAACTTTTTCATAAGGTAGACATCAGACTAACTTGCAACATAGATCTAACTCTTAAATCCCTCTACACAAATCTGAAATCTCCCACTAGTATAGAACGTACGTCCAACATTGTCTACAAAATAAATTGCAATGATTGCCCTTCTACTTACATAGGCGAAACCGGACAAAATTTAATAAAAAGACTCAAACAACACGACAATAATTCGAAAAACCCCAACCAAAACCAAACTATGATAACAGAACACATAAAAAATTTCAAACACTCCTTTAACTTTTATAATGCCAGTATAAAACCATCTACCATGAACGGAACACCATTCAGAGACGTTTTGCAGAATCTTGTTTCATATCAGTATGTGATCACGTGGTAAACAAAAGATCGGATACCTCCTTACTCTGCGATAACTACCAAGTAATACTAAATAATGTTTCCAAATTTATCTCCTCTGAACAAAACTAATTCTGACCTCACTAACCTTGCCAATACTTCCTAGTTTAACTTCGGCCTTGAAACCCGAGCTTTACCTACCCATGCATAGCAAATTTTGAATAACCCTTAAAAAATTTTTATTTTAGATATTTGAGTTATTAGTATAACTACCTAGTAATACTAAATAACATTTCCAATTTTTTTCTCCTAATTTTAACCATACAAACCTAGCCTAACATTACTAGTTTCAACTTCGACCATTTTCTACCTACCCACTCATAACAATCCTGGAATGACCCTTAAAAATCTCTCAAAACATGTGTTGGCGTTCATACATGCCTCGGTACTCGCAAAGTACAGAAGTCGTGGCAGAAATTACATAATTCAACTTACATTTTTGTTCAAATAAAACTATCATTTTTCTGTTTACATCATACAAAAAATTATAAAAAATGCATAGTGTTGACAAGTTAGTTGTATAAATGTTAGTGCCAATCTCTAGTGTTGTGTACACTTCTCTAGATGTAACCAACCAACGTAATGTAAGTCCACTTGTATTTTATATGTATTATCCATCTTCATAAATATTTTGTTTGCTTTACATATATACGAGTTTGCATATGTGTATGTTTATATATATATGTATTTGTGTGTGTATATGTATATATATGTATATTATTTATTTACATGTATGTTTGTATGTATGTACATATGTATATGTGTATACATGTATTTGTATATGCGTATATATGTATGTATATGTATATATTTGTGAGCATTTATGTACATATGTATATATATGTATTGTGTGTATATGTATATATGT